TCACTTCGTTCAGAATCTAAAATTTAATAATATATGATATTAAAAGGCCCCATTACCGAAAAACGAAGGGGGACTCACCGGGAAAGTAGCTCAGTAGGCCTATCCGCCTATATGGSGCTAAAATATTTTATTGTTACTTTTTACTCTTTTTAGAATTTAAGAATAAATAATGATTTGATATTAGATATAAGATATAACTTACAAATTCCAGGCAAATAAAGGTAATAGTGATGAAGTTATAATATTACCTTTTTTATTCGTTGTCGTTAATTTAAACTTGTGCTTAAAAAAAAAAGYATGGGTCTTATGTTTCTACATCTTAGTTTATTTTATTATGTCTTATACGTTTAGGTATTTTAATGTTACCGAAATATAATCTTCTAAATTCAATTCGTGCCCGCGATAAATGAATAGGTAGGTATACAATTTTCAATTTAATTGACGGCAATCTACATCTACGACACTGATATAGGTACCTTATATAGTTATGCATAATAGGCTATGAAGTATTTATATTTATTAAAGTATTTAAAATAATAGGTACTTACTTAATGCGCGATTATCCATTATAATGGATTAGTATATAGCGCTATATTTACCAACAAGGTTCAGCCAGCAGGTATATAATAATATATCTATAAATAAATTGTAAATATTTTGTATTAGGTAGGTAGGTAGGTAGGTAGGTAGGTATTATAAAGAACATTTTTCTTTGGTTTATGTAATAAGGTGTGGCAATCGACAGTAGTATATTGTACACTATAAAAATATGTTACTTATATTTGTTACATTCTTTAAAAAAAAAAAATGCAGATTATATACTTTATCTCAAACAGTTTTTTGTTCTCGAGAATTCTTATAGCTAACTATATGATATAGTCTATATCTAATTTAAATATGCCTAGTATAATATTATTTTAAGTACCTATTTATAATGTGCATTCTCCGTTATAGGTATATTAACAGGATTCCAATTTAGGACTTATTAGTATTTAGTGTATACCTATCTAATGATATTACAACCTATTTCTGCATTAGGTAGATATMAATATAAAGACATGGGATAGGTACCTACAATAGATAGATACCTACTTAAGAGTGTAAGACAATAATAATATAGTAGGTTCGCTGCACATACAACTATACAAGCCGAATTTGTTAGTGAATTCAGAAAAAGCAAATTTTGAGAGCTGTTCATATACAAACAGTAAAAAATTGAAGTTATAGATCAATATTCTGAACGATTAAAAAAAATATTTAATTACCTGCTTACCTACCTACGACCTGTCTATTTAAAATTATATTAAATTAAATATGAGTAAAAGGTAGATGTCATTGTGAATATACAATTTTATAAGTTATTACGTGTTAAATATCAGTTTTCAAAATTAATTTAGAAAAAAAAAACACTGGACACTACCATAATTATTAGCATACAGAATAATATGTAACAATACCTAATTCAACACTACCTAATTTAAAATATATTTTATAAAACAACGCAACATGATGTTATACATATGACATGTCCCCCTCCATAGTCCAATTAAGATGACCAAATCTGTCACTCATAGCAAATTATAATCTAATAATATATACCTACCTACTACAATCACACCACTTGAATCATGACTAAATAAAATCTTATTTACCTATGGTTTGAATTTGAACTTTGAACCATTTAACTCAACCTAACTTCGACTTATGAGTGTGGTGTCATCCAGGTATGATTGTGTACATATATGTTATATTCATAAGAATATTAAGTATAGTTGTAATATTGCATAAACGATTATGATTTTAGTTTGATCAAACTTATAACTTTATACATTTATATTTACAAACGTGCAGGTACCGTCTGTTGTCTGTACGCTGTGCCTAATATTATATAGGTACTTATGAGAATCAWAAATTCATACATCATATGTTTCTGAAGTCACATGGAATAGTTTATAGCGGTTGTTTTTAGATTTAGGAGTGTTAATAAAATAATAAACTTCGTTAAAAAAAAATTTAATTTTGATACATTTTTTTTATCGTAATTGGTTTTATACATATATTTTTCAAGATGTTTACAATGTAAAAATCTACATATTTTTCCCTAATATAAAAAGATTTTAATGATTCTTATTAACAATATAAATAATAATCAATTCATTGYATTTAGGTTATGCGAATATACAATGAATACGTGCTCTCGAATTGGAGGAAAATAAGAGGGGGACAAGGGAGGAATGCAAAAATTAGGTAACCGATTGTTTAAATATCTCATTGATTAGAATATTAATGACCAAAGGGTTATATAAAGATATATTTTCAAAAAATGAGATTATGTCTCCCTTCAATTAAAGCATTGGGTATATCATCAATTAATTTAGTTCTGCGCATCAAATATTATACTACTTGACAGAGTATAATTACTATCAATAGAACCATYGATCAAACGTGGTCAAGGAGAAAATCAATGATTTCTAATTGTTTTAATCTATTTTTAAATAAAAAAACTACTTTTATTAAAATGTGATTATTGCAAAAAAATGTTATAATTTCATCATTTGTCATATAATTAGTTAAAAGGACGTTTTACTTGCAATGTGTTGTCTTCGATTTACAAGTTACAAGTATGATACACGGCAAATTTAATACTCAACGTATCATGTTTAGCTCCATTAGTTTAAAAAGAAGTAAATTGACTTAGAAATTTTAAAGGCAACATTATTATTTCAACCTCATGGGGTTTTGATTATAATTTAATTTTGAAGTTGGAAGTATCTTAAGATGTATAATTTATAATTTTAAAATACTTATAACATGCTTTTAAGTTAAAATATAATAAAAAGCTCATGAGGTTGTCAAAAATAATAATCTTACATTTAAATGTTAATAAAGTAAATTCATTCTTCTTTTCTAACCAAGTTAAACATGATCTCCTGAACATAAAATTTGCTTTRTTACATACTTGTAAAACAAAGACACACATGCAGGTTTAACATCTTCTTGATCCCTTAATATTAACTGTACAGTGTACCTCCAAGTGCAATTTATTCTTTTTTAAAGATGGTATTTTGGGACTGTCAAATGTCTACAAACTAGTGCATACACTTATGGTTACTCAACAATTATTAAACTTAAAATAATTTTTGACATTTGAATAATCTAGATTCCAAATAATTAATATATATATATATATATATATAATATATATATTTATACATTTTAAAGCTAAGAAACTTAATTTTGTTTAAATTTTCTTATCATTGTTTCTTATTATTAAGTAACTTTTTTCTTTAAATATTCAATGATATACATTGTAAAAAATATATCAATTAAAACTAATTTCAAGTATATAAAAGTATGGAAAAGAGGATAACCAACATAATAAATCCAACATTAGAACCACATGAGTTATTTTATTGTGAAAAAAAAAATATAATTTATTTCAATGGAATAAACCTAGAGCTGTGGGTGGCACCAATACCAGGCCTTCCGTGCTTAACTGGTTTGTATGTCACACTGAATTCACCCAAATAATGACCAATCATTTCAGGCTGAAAAATAAAGTACAAAATGATTAAACATCATTGCTTAACAATTATTAACAATTATGAAATAAACTATTCCAAAGATAAAAATTGAGTATAATAAAAAAGTATAATTTTACTAACCTTGATTTCAATTTGATTGAAAACTTTGCCGTTGTAGACACCAATGATACTGCCAACCATCTCAGGAACAATGATCATATTACGGAGATGAGTTTTAACAGCTTCAGGTTTTTCCATTGGTGGAGCATCTTTCTTTGCTCGGCGCAATTTCTTAACCAATGCTGACTCTTTACGCTTTAAACCACCACGTGAGAAACGCCTGCGAGCACGTGAGTGCAACAGCTCGATCAACTGTTCTCTAAAAAACATAATAGTTTACTTAAAATGTGTTATGAATGACAATAAATAATAATTTACCCTTGGATATCCAAAAGTTGGTCCAAGTCAACACCACGGTATGTGAATTTACGGAAAGGCCGTTTAGCCTTGTGCTCAACCTCTGTCTGAAACATTATCATTGAAACTATAGTTAAATCAAACATGTACAATAAAGTGTGACAAGCAAACACAGATAATGGATTTGCTAWATCAAAAACAATGTATGACTCAATTTTTGACAAGACTTCAAGGGAGGAAGTCAAAATCAATAGCATTAATAAACATATTGTGTTCAGGTTCTTGCCGAAGTGTCTATGTATACTTAATGTTTTATTTTAAAACTATTATAATTTTTATTACAAATAATTGCCTTAAATTATTACTTTTAATTATTCACATATAAAAAAGAATTAACTTAACCAGAAGATGTGACCGCTTCTTCTTGGCTGTCAGTAGTTTACACAACTATCCTTATCGAAGTTATGAAGGGGGCACGTTTTCGATAATCAGAAATCACCCGAAAAAGCTACAACACAAAAACTCATAGCATAAACTAAGATGGCGCGTCTACCACGAGTTTGACTATCGCTTAAAATAAATTAAATAAATAGTTAATTAATTAGACTTTCGGAAACATTTGAAAGGTAAAAATGTATTTCAATAGTCGTAAATTGTAGGTTAAAATGGTTAAATGTACGCCGGATTTTTTTAGAAAATTGAACGTTAGTTTCGAATCGCTATCGGGTTGTGAAATCAAAATAAATCAAACTTACGGTGTTTTCAGCCATTTCGTTGTGGATATTCGTCAAGGATAGTTTAAGAAAGATTTTTTGGAAACGTGTCTTCTTCCGAACAAACTCGAAATCGTAGAATTAATGAAAAGGTAGATATATCATGTGCAAATGTGGTAAATGGTAATGTACAACAAATTCGTGAGACGACTTAACAGTGTCGCCAACGGTACCGAGCACGAGAGCGAGTCTAACACATCTTTGGAACTATATTTTTACTTTATCTTATTATCACTAAATATGTTGATTGATAAAATATATGAAAATGAATCACAAACACAGATAATATTATTATGTTCTGTAGGCTGTAATGTAATACAATATACATTATACATAATATTACTAATAGTTAATACTTATTATTATAATAAATTGTATTTAATATATTTTTATAGTCTATAGTAATCCTAACTAATTGTATGAATTATGAATTATAAGCTTACTAAATATTGGATAGTGGATATTGAATTATTATACTACAAGAGTTAAAATATTTATCATACAATAACTTCTTAACTTATTTATTGTACCTAGCATTATTTTAGTAGTTGCGCTATCGTGGAATAATTTTTGGCGGCGTTATTATTTATTTGCTGAAGCTGACGTTCAAAGCCAAACATGTTTAAACCTCACTTGTTGGAAGTAGAAAGTTGGAAAGGCGATTGGGGTTTGCCGTCAATCGATTATAAATGCCTCGAAGTTTTGGTACATTATAAAAATTTTTTTTCCAGTAATATATATTAAATATTGTATATAATAGGACATTAAAATTGAAACAATGGAATCAATTTTGTTTTAGGCTTTTGCTAGGTTTACAAATGCGCCAATTAACATATACCATTCGAACAATCCATTCAAGTCTGTTACTGGGCATTTGCCTGTTGTAAGTTATAATAAACGATTATTAATTGATCGAAGCAGTCTAATTGATTGTCTTGAGAAGCAGGTATACTAATTTATATTGTACCAAATTTTATAAGTATTCTAATATAAATTTGTATTCATGTTTTTCTAGAATCTCACACCAGACTTTGGGCTAACTAGTCTTCAATTGGCAGAAGAACATGCAGCTATTAGTATGATTGATGCTCAACTTGAACCAGCATTATTGTTTGCTTGGTAATCAAACTAAAAAAAGACGATTTAAAGTCATGTTTCTGTCTTACTATGTTTATTTGATAATATATTATTATTATACAGGTGGATGGATGAGAGTAACTGCATTAATTTTACCAAGCCATGGTATAGGAATGCATTAAAATTTCCATTTAATTGGTATTACCCAAATGTATATGAGAGGAAAGCCAAGCACAAAATCTATACACTGTACAATCACCTAGATTCTGACAATGATATTATGATAGAGGTAAATTAATTAAAATTCAGTTTTAATAATGATTTGTTGCTAATAAATTATGATATGTATTAAGATTTATGCAGAAGCCATTAAGTGTATGAACGGTTTGGAAAGTCGTTTAGGCAACAATTTCTATTTCTTTGGGTCACATCCTACATTATTAGATGCCGTTGCTTACAGCTATCTAGGGCCACTATTAAAAGCACCTCTTACTGAAAACAAATTGCAATCACATTTGAAGACATGTAAAAACTTGTGCATTTGGATAGATAGAATAACAAGAGAATATTTCAAAATAGACTGGCAAGCACACAAATGCAATGAAAAGAAGAAACTAGAAGAGACTAAGCAGCAAATGAATATCATACCTTGGTATAAGAGAGAAGAGACAAAAAATGTTTTAATAGGAATAGTCACTGTTATTACAATGGTTGTTTATTCATTTAAAATTGGTCTCATTAGTGTGAGTTATAATAATWATTCAATAAGATAAATAGATTTTGTAATTTGAGTTCATATTTGTAGGTAAGCGATACAAGTGATGAAGAAGATGAAGATTGATTAATCGTTCAGTTTTTTTAATTAGTATTTTTTAATTATTATTTTGTATGTTCCTGAATTTATTAGACATTAAATAAATGGATCAAATAAACTTCAAATAATTTTTTTTTTTAATACAATTATATTAATATTGAATTTACATTTAAATTATTGATGATGACAAATATATTTATTTTGTGGTTACAAACTGATATTGGACATCATAAATTCCAACAGGCTGGTTCTGTCTTTCATCATAATCAACCCATTCTTTTTCTTCTAAATTAACATCTTCAAATTTAGTGTTAGTTTCAATCCCACAACACTTAAACCCGTTTCTAGGTGAAAAGTCAATGATTGATAAACCACGACAATCAAATGTAACAATACTTTTAAATTTATTTGAATCTTCTATAGTATACTTTGTAATAGAGTCAGGTAAAATATCTGAAAATAAAAATATTATAGCTGGATCAATAAATATTTCTATATTATGTAGGTATTTAAAAATCTTACCTAATGAACTATCTCTTGAACACATTTTGCATTTGGTTACTAAATTTGCTTGGCCTCTACTTCCTTTCATTGGGACTGTAATCTAAAATATTTATCAAATAAATAATCAGCTCAAGCAGTTATAACTAGAAATACCAACATCTTGTGATAAATATATCCATTTGTCAGATTCTTCGCCACAATTTGTACATCGAAACTATAAAATTTTTTTAAAGAGTAATAAGTTTAGAACCATCATTGACGTTAAAGACATTAATATGAAACTTTAATGAATTCTAATAATTGTAAAACTCTTTTATCATACTTTTAAATACCATCGAAAGTCTTTGCCATCAGGTGTTAGTTCGGTCACATTTTCTAAATTAGCTTTAATCTGTAATGCGATTTTCTATAAATTTAATAAYAAAAATTAGTAGGTTTATTAAATTATTATAATTTTCAAAACCTTAAAAAATAAGTTCTGAGTTGCTTTTGGAAATTCTATGTAATGTTTCTTTACATCCAATTTGTGAGTTAATTTTAATATATTAATATATTAATATATGCACTTGTATTAAATTTGCTTATAAATATTACATAATAAATAATAATCAAATAAGACAAATTTTGAACAATAAAAAAATTATTAAGTTTACAAAATAAAACTTACAACCATTATGTGTTGGGTCGTTGGGTAATAATTTATATGATTATATGAATATATTAACAATAGAAAAAAAATATCTTGACAAATTAATTAGGTGATGAATTATTTTTCGGACAAACTAACTACTACAGTTGAACGACAGAAATACAGATTTATAATACGGATATTGTAAATTGAATTATTGAATACTACCAAAAGGCAAAAATCAAAATATTATGTACAGTCTACAATGATAAGGATGGATACTAAACGGATAAGAAAAATTAAATCATACCGAAAAAACACAAGATTAGATGAAATGGCCACAGATCGCGCTATTGATATAGGTAGATAATAATAATATTACATGTATAAATGTATTTACGTTTTGAAAATTAAAGGTATCTTCAATCTACTATCTATTTTAAAATATATAGTATACTCTTTAAAACTAGCTTAATATTATATAAAATCTCTCTAACTAATCCACTAATTACCATAGCTGCATCTCCCAACATTGAACATTAGCAATAATTGAATAATGCAGTTTAGTATTTTGCAATGTTTTATTGGCTTGTTGAAAATTTATAGTATTTTAAAATACGATCTATTATAAATGTAGATAAAATTGTAGTTAAATAGTATATTATTTTATTTATTTATTTTATTTTACAATTTAAACTTACGAGTATATTAAGCACACTTTAAACCTTTAATTTAATAATACTAATAATATATTATTATGTTATTTATTAATATTAGTGGTAACAAATTACAATTTATGTTAAATTATATAATGTGTCTAAAAGTTAAAATAATATTTAATTATGATTATTAAATGGTAGAATAGTTATAATGATGTCATAACTTCATAAGTAACTCATTTTCAACTTGAAAATTTCAAGTAAGCTACCGTTATGTAACTATCCTAAAAGAATAATTTAATTAAAGGTACTTTTTTTTCTACATATTGATTATTATACCAAATATATGGGTAAAAACATTAAATAAACAATTGTAGTATTGAATTAAAATAATATTGAAAATATATTGAAAATATATTATAAGGCAATTATTTTAAAATCGATGCGTCAGAAACCTGTTGCCTGTCATTAAATTTTGGTTTTACTATTTTTCTTGGCATGTGAATATGTGATCCACTAGCATTGACGCGGCAGCTGTCCGTTTGTCTTCTTATTTCGAGCATTGATTAAATAAGCAAAATAAGACGATAATCTTGTAATACGTATATAGGTATATTATAGTGTAGACCAATAAAGAAAGATCTAAAGAAGTATAAAGATCAATTAGATCTCATTTGCCAAGCCTCAAGAATRGTGAAGAAAGAAGAAATAATATAACATGGCCTTTGGTCTGTCTAAATATAATATAATATATCTTATTTTTTTAGCTATAATCTTTGTTATGCTTATAAATGTGTGATTACTAAATTACTGTAATACATCGTGTATTCGTGTGTGYCAGTGTGTATTATCACAATAATATTAAGAAAGCTGATGCAGATCAGAATGGATGGTTACGCAGTTTACACAATTTGAACGGCGGATCGTTATCGCTTATCACTTGTAGCTCTCAGCTATCAACCTGGGCGTGTTTATTGACTTGAGAATTGTGTATTGTACTATTGTGTTTACTAAACAATATTAAATTATTACACAGTTAACAATTATTAACAAGTAAAAATGAACACCATCAATTGAGTTTGCATTCCAATTTCGGGTGGATGTATATTKTATTTTAAACTTTTCAAAAAACGGTTTTGACTTACAATATTAATTTTACGAACCTTGACGATTCAATGTGTAATCTGACGTTTAAAAAAAATTTAACTCCTAAAACTTGGTATTGTATGTAGACTTTCTCAGTTGACGGTTAAGTTTTACATTTTATCGTTTAGTGTTCAATATTTACATTCTACATAACGTTTTTGATTCCACTGATTCTCTTAAAATGTACGCCCGAAGTAAAACTCCCAGCATGGGAACGCCGTCAGTTTATTCAATACATGCCAGTCATTTGACTATCCGATCTTCTAACCTGAGGTCAACGCGTTCCATGAAATCTTTACGTGTGCCATGGTATCAACGTCCTATATTGAAAGATGCTTATTTCCTTGATACACAAAGAGGTGCACTTGTCATTGCCTTCTATTCTCTGGTAAGCATTTAGTCATTTAGATGGATTAATTTTTGAATTGGTTTTTATAATTTTAAATTCATATTTATAATTAACTTTAATATGGTTTTAATGTACATTAGTTTCTAAGCATTTTTACATTGGTGACATCCGCATTTGATACATATTGTTTGGCAATGGCTGCTCCTGGATCTACACATTATGGTTACTATGTCATGAGCTATCAGTTTGTATATGTTGGAAGCTCTTGGGGTAAATATAAATATAATTATGTTTTTGTTCAACAATTTGTTTAACTATTTAATTATTTTATGCATTGTTTTTGTATTTCAGTCAGAAATTTATTAGTCTTATTCTCATTGTTTTCGTTTGTTGTGGCAGCTGTTATTTTTGTAACAAGTTTGATTTTAATATCTGCATTACGCAAGGTAAAATTAGAGTTTTTTTTCATGATGTATTATAAACAATATTAACAATAATTTCTAAAACTTTCAGGAGCACGAGAAACGAATCGTGCCTTGGTTATTTTCGTTTGCTGCATTTACAGTATTTCGATTTATAGCCTGGTTGTTTTCTTCAATAGCTAACGATCCCATATTTGGCTACAATTTTACCATGATATTGTTGGGTGCATTGTTCAGTGTCATAAATGTATACGGTTGGATACTTGTATATTCTTTGTATTTGGAACTGTTTGATTTGACTAAGCTTGAAGATTTAGCACATTTGAGAGTATGTGTTTTCTCATTTTTTTTATGTATACATTTACAAATTAATTCTTGTATTTTAGATTGGAACTATGGCCTCACTGAATGCATCTACAACTCATTCTTTAGCTGGATCTCGACCCACTACTCCTCATAGTACAGTCTCCACTGTTCCAGTATAACATTATTATATTTTATCGAAAAATTAACCAGGGATATGTAGTATTTATTATTTTATTTTTAAACTGCAGTATGATTACTAATCTGGATTTGAAATGGATCCATATATCTGGACTAGCAAGGTCTGGATTAGTGAGACTCTACTGTATTTTTGGTATTATTAATAATTAGACTTATGACTATGCGCTTGACACAATGTAATCTTATCCGTCCATTTTGTGTTCAAATGTTATATGTTGACAATTAATCAGTATTTTATTTTATTTATAAGTATTGTATTTCATTTTTATACTTGATTACGTTTTATATCATTATTTT